CAACACCAACACCAACACCAACACCAACAACACCAACACCAACACCAACACCAACAACACCAACACCAACAACACCAACACCAACAACACCAACACCAACAACACCAACACCAACAACACCAACACCAACAACACCAACACCAACAACACCAACACCAACAACACCAACACCAACAACACCAACACCAACACCAACACCAACACCAACACCACTACTACTACTACTACTACTACTACTACTACTACTACTACTACTACTACTACTACTACTACTACTACTACTACTACTACTACTACTACTACTACTACTACTACTACTACTTACTACTACTACTACTACTTACTACTTACGACTACTACTACTACTACTACTACTCTACTACTACTACTACTACTACGATACGACTACGACTTCACGACTACGACTACGACTACTTACTAATTACTACTACTACTACTACTACTACTACTTACACTACTACTACTACTTGATACTACTACTCCTGCTACTGACTACTACTACGACTATTACTACTAGTTTTTCTTACTATTACAACTACCACTACCACTACCACTACCACTACCACTACCACTACCACTACGACTACAACTACTACTACTACTACGACGACGACGACTACTACTACTACTGCTACTACTACTGCTACTACTACTACTACTACTACTGCTGCTACTACTACTACTACTACTACTACTACTACTACTACTACTACTACTACTACTACTACTACTACTACTACTACTACTACTACTACTGCTATTTTTACTACTACTCCTGTTCCTACTCCTATTTTTTTTAAACTCCTACTGGTACCACGATTAACATTCATAATACAACAACGATTATTGTATTACGACTCCTGTTTTGACTGCTTCTTGCTACTGCCTCACTTCGACGACAACGACTTTTCCTATTTGGTTGTTGCACAAGGCAAGCAGCCTTTGTTGTTTAGTTTCACCCCAATGCAGGCATTAATTTTGAGGTTCTTAGTTTCTTGTTGCCCTTCAAAGCCTGTGGAAGAGAAGAGTAAAGAATTATTCTAAATTCCCCTAAATTCCACCTTCCTCAGTTTCTTTTGTTCTTCGAAACCTGCAGAAGAGAAGAGTGGAGAATTGTTCTAATTCCACCCTCTCTTGTCTTTCGAAGGCGCAATTTTCTTTTTGAAGATGAGAGAGAAGAAATTCCACCCCCCAAATCTTGTTTTGTTTTTTTGGATCCGATTTTTTTGGATCTCGTTCTTAGAAACTTCGAATCCCCTCCGCCTTTGTCCTTACACTTCAAAGCCTTCAAATCACCTTTTTGCAGCTCTTCCCCTTCGTCCTCGCCTTCAAAGCCTTTAAAGTCCCCTTCGTCCTTACCTTCGAAGAGTCTTTGAAGCCCCTTCGTCCTCCCCCCCTTTAACCCTTCGCTTCGAAGGCTGGGCTTTGAAGGCCCCTTTGCCGAAGGGTAACGGAATGCAGCTCCCACTGCGCGATGCACACGGTGCAACAGCAGTTGCAACAAATATCAGATAATGTGTTTGGCAGTGAAAGAGCATGGACGTGGATAAGGGTAGTGGAGCCAAAGCTGAACACTACGTCCCGAAATTGCCATTGCAAGTTGCATGAACAAGGGTCGTCGATCCGAGATCGAGGGTTGGTCGGACTTTGTTAAGTTGTTTCTGCCCTGGATAGCCCTGTTTGACGACAGATTCCACACAAGGTGGAAATGGCAATGGCTGGAAAGACTCCATCTTGAACCGAACGTTGGAAAAAAAGGCAGAGTGTGCGTTCGACACGTCTGTTCTTGTCCTTAGACAAGCCATGCAAGGGTACAGCAGGGGTTTGGACATTCTGAAGCAAGTGGAGAAGGAGCTTGGTGTTCCGGCAGGGTACGAGGCCATTCCCAGACTTCACGAGAAGTTGAGCGTTGGTTCACGCATCAAGGCTTTAACTCTGAGGGATGAGATGCTTCGTTTCAAAGCCGGAGCGGGCTGGACAGGCCACTTGACACCTTCAGAGCCATTCAAGTGGAAGTTGCAAAGTTTGCACGCTTGATTGGAGGGTTTCCGAACCTGAAGCTTACAGAGCCCGACTGTTGTATGGTTGTCTTGAAGAATCTAGGGGTTGAAGTAAAGCGACACATCCTTCTCCATGCAAAGATTGACTCCATGGCCGCTTTGGAAGAAGCCATCAAGTTTTACGACAGCAACTTGAAGATTCTTAGTTTGCTGATGGAAAGAAAAAGGGGCCGGGCGCGGCGTTTAAAACGGCAATAGAAGTTAATTAAAAAAGAAAGAGAAAGCGGCGCGCCCGCAGGGCGCGCCGCCGTGCAAAACGCCGCGTCTTATTTTGAGGCTGCTTTTAATACGGCCGTGGCCGTTCTAAACGCTGCGTCTAATATTAGGGGGATCATTTGCCATGGCTGAGAGCCGTGCTAAATGCCGCGTCTAATTAAAGGGTCTCGCTTAAGACGTCCTCCGTTCCCAAAGCTTCGCAGGCTAGCAAGCTTGAAGCAAGTCTGAAACTGCATCCTAAAGCTTTGCAGGGTCAAGCAAGCTTGAAGCAAGTCTGAAACCGCACCCTAAAGCTTCCCTCGATTGAAGCAAGCGCAAGATTAGAAACTGCAGCCTACCTGGGCTTGAACCAACCCTCCAACCCCCGAAAGCACCCTAAACCTGCAAAAAGCATGGAGTTTCGCTCACTCATCATCCTCGAAGAGGAGGCTGTGCTCGCTCTCATCGTCAACAGCTTCGCACTGCGGGTCTTCACTCACATTGCGCTGTACAAGCTGCGGTTCGAAAGCAACTTTGAACTCCGTCAAGTTGCACCACTTGACATTGTCTACACCGGCTCTTGCGAGTTCCCGCAATTTGCCGTAGACAGCAAACATGTCACAACCTGCAAACCACATCTTAAGTTGAAAAGCACGCATAAAAGCTCGAAGGGTCCTATGGTCAACACCAAGCACAACACTGGCTTGATCAGGCGAGAAGCGCAAGCCAGACGTGTACAGCCACATTGCCCCAGCAAGGGACCTCAGCGCAAGGCATTGCTTGCCAAAAAGGTTCTCATCTCGTCGAGTCACAGCCAAGGTCTTTCGACACGCTTTGCAACGCCACTGACACAAGTGACCTTGAGCCTCCAACTTCCACCGAGGAGTCTGTTGAGCAGTGCACCCGCGTGTGTGTGTGTGTGTGTGTGTGTGTGTGGTAGGACTGTGGTGATGGTAGTGTGGTGATTGTAGTGGTGATAGTAGTGTAAGTGTGTGGTAGTGCGAGTGTGTGGTAGTGTGGTAGGGCTAACGTTTTTGTTTCTCCGAAGAACCCTTTGCTAAAACTTTCGGGAAAAGTTGACTTTCGCGCTACGGCAGCTTCGGGCGTCCGCGGCGTACTACGTTTGTACTACAAAAAGTCGACTTTCCAGCTACGGCAGCTCCGGGCGTCCGCGGCGTACTACGTTTGTACTACAAAAGTTGACTTTCCAGCCACAGCAGCTTTGGGTCCGCGGTACTACGTTTGTACTACAAGTACGTTTGTACTACAAAAAGTTGACTTTCCAGCTGCGGCAGCTCCTGGCGTCCGCGGCGTACTACGTTTGTACTACAAAAAGTCGACTTTCCAGCTACGGCAGCTCCGGGCGTCCGCGGCGTACTACATTTGTGAGAAAGGCTCCGACACGCACGATCCCCGCAGAGGGTGCACGACCACGCTTTAAAATACGCAAAAACGCACAGCGGCAGCGCTCCGACACGCACGATCCCCGCAGAGGGTGTGCGAAGCAAGTTGTAAAATGTGCGAAAACGCACAGCGGAAGCGCTCCGACAGAGGGTGTACGAAGCAAGTTGTAACATGCGCAAAAACGCACAGCGGAAGCGCTCCGACACGCACAATCCCCGCAGAGGGTGCGCAAGCACAAATCCACATGCGCAAAAACGCACAGCGGGAGCGCTCCGACACGCACGATCTTTGCAGAGGCGCGCGGGACAAATCCACATGCGCAAAAACGCACAGCGGAGCGCTCCGACACGCACGATCCCCGCAGAGGGTGCGCGGAAACAAATCCACATGCGCAAAAACGCACAGCGGCAGCGCTCCGACACGCACGATGCCCGCAGAGGGTGTGCGAAGCAAGTTGTAAAATGTGCGAAAACGCACAGCGGAAGCGCTCCGACAGAGGGTGTACGAAGCAAGTTGTGACATGCGCAAAAACGCACAGCGGAAGCGCTCCGACACGCACAATTCCCGCAGAGGGTGCGCAAGCACAAATCCACATGCGCAAAAACGCACAGCGGGAGCGCTCCGACGCACGATCTTCGCAGAGGTGCGCGGGGACAAATCCACATGCGCAAAAACGCACAGCGGGAGCGCTCCGACACGCACGATCCCCGCAGAGGGTGCGCGGAAACAAATCCACATGCGCAAAAACGCACAGCGGGAGCGCTCCGACACGCACGATCCCCGCAGAAGGGTGCACGCGCTAGCCGACGAAACCCACCCCAGCCTAAGAAATAAGAGAATTTAATAGAGGAGGTGATGTGATGGTGCTGTGGTGATGGTAGTGTGGGGATGGTAGTGGTGATTGAAGTGTGGTGATGGTAGTGGTGATTGGAGTGTGGTGATGGTAGTGTGGTGATTGTAGTGTGGTGATGGTAGTGTAGTGTGGTAGGACTAACGTTTTTTTCTCTGAAGAACCCTTTGCTGAAGCTTTCGGGAATTTGCGTAACACACAAGGGTCCACCGCTTGCAACAGCATGACATAGGACATGACATGCATGAAGTAGCCTTCGCCGCGCCGTCCAATGGCAATGGTGGCAAGCACTGGCTTCTCGATTCAGGAGCGAGTGTCCACCTTGCGAGCCAGAGCATGGTAGAGTGGTGCTGCAGTCATTGTTGAGCGGTTAGGGACCAGTGGTGTAGGATGTGTTACTGCAACAGGTGACGCGATTCAGGTGCAGTTTAAAGAAAGTTGCCGCGGAGAGCAAGGGTTCGAAGGGCAGCATGGAGGAGTCCTTCAAGACCACGAATGCCGACGAGAAGATGGAGGAAGTCGAGACAGGTCTCGTGCAGGCGGAGCAGAGGCGCTTGATCGAGACCAAGAGAAGGCCCCCACCTGCTGTGAAAGTCAAGGTGAAGGCAATGCAAGAGCCTCAAGGGTTCGGTCGCAGGGGCCAAGCGCGAGGTGAAGCTGAAGCCACGCTGAGCTCGATCCCTCTGCCGTCCTTTGTTGAAAGGGCGGTCAAAAAGAAGAAGATCTCGCCGAAGAGGGCTGCAACGGAGGTGGCATCGAGCTCCAAGCGCTACAAGGTGGCCGAGCCGGCCGAGGCCCCGACCCTCTCCAGCGAGATGCTGAGGGCAATACCACGACGCACAATGGAACAGCACCTTGCCGACCACGCCCGTGCGGTTCAGGAGGCCACCGAAAAAGCGATGGAACTGGCGGGCAACCACAAGGGCGAGATGGTGATCAGCAGAGCTTCTTGGGTGGTGTCCAAGCTCGACTTACCACCACCCCCGCTGCCACCATTGCTTGGACGCTTCCGACGGGATCGACTTCAACGGAACCCCCTGGCGAATCGCATAGTGGAACTTCTTCCGGACAACGCTTGATGACCACAGAAGACCTGCCCATTCTTGAAAACACCGGCAATACATGCTATCAAAATGCTTTGCTCCTATGTCTTTGGTGGCTCAGCCGGAATTTTCATAAGCCGATGGCGGGGCTTCTATCCACAGTCAAGCAGATGGTGGCAGCCAAAGCGGGCAGACTACGTGATGTGCCTGAATGGTCCCAGATCTTGACCATATGGAACAGACCAGGTACACAGCAGGATGTGGTTGAATTTCTTATGTTCCTCCTGGAATACGTCACACTTCCGGATTGGGCGGCTCAATCCATTCGTATGACTCCACCTCCACTCTAGTGGATGTGCTCGATCTCACCTCTGCACCGATTATGCTTCATATTGGTCGGCACCAAAGCCGAAGCCTTCCAGCCATGGTACAGGAATGGCATCAGACAACAGATGGATTGCAATTTTTGATACACCCACCGAGGATTCTTTTCCTACAAGTCATGCGTTTCTCCCTTCAGCATGGCCGGATCAGGAAGAACAATGTTCGCCTCAAGATCCCTGACAGTCTTCTCATACCAACTTTGGTGGATGGTCGGAAGATACTGCAATCCTATCGTGTTGTATCTGGGGTATATCATTTGGGCAACAGTCCACAATCCGGTCATTATCGCGCCTTCTTTCATGAATTCCGAGCCGAGCACGGTGGTGGCAATCACAGATATATTTCTGAAGACGGGGTGAGAGTGGCTGAACTCTCCTCAAATGAGGCTGAGGTCTTACTGCGTAATTTTTATCTCCTTGCACTAGTGGGCGAATAGTTTTCTACTAACTATATGCTCCTGTGCTACACAGTGTCTTTATCCTTTGCTTATAACCGCCCGCTGCGCTCGATTACAGGTGGTCATTTGTAAAATCACAGATCGAAGGAAGGACTGCTTCTAGGGGCTTGGCGCCGGTTGCTTTCTTCGTAATATCTGAACATGCCCTTCCAGCGGCGACCTAGTAGCTCCCATCAGCCACCTTAATGCAGCAGAGCTTCCTCAACTTAACCCATCGTCTATTTGGACACTCATCTTTACGGGCCTTTCGACTCTTCGTTACCACACTATGCTGCTTCTACATTTCTCACCCACAGTGTTTCAAACTCTGAGAGCTGGTCTACCTATGTTATTTACCGTTCCGTGTTGGTTTCTGTGGCGCCTTTGCTGGGTCTACGGACCGGAGGGCCAATCTCTTATAGGCATGTGCTGGGTCCAAGGACCGGCATGCCAGCCTCGTGTCTCACACTCTTGCGGCTTGCTTACGCAAGTGCAGCTACGAAGCTGCCAGGCATCTCACTGCCGGCTCACTCTTGCTACGCGGGTCCACATGTCTGCCGTTGCAAATCAAAGTCAAAAGTTTCGAAAAATTCCCGAAAAGGGACCCAAAATCAGAAGCAACATGCCCAGATGCATTTTGCAAAGCAGGCAAAATGCATTTGCAAAGCTTGCTCCTCCAAAACCAAAAGAAAAACCTCACTTTTAAGGGGCTTTAAAGGGGGGCTTCAAGGGGGCTTAGGAGGGCTTGAAGGGGGGCTTAAAGAGGGGCTAAAGGGCTTAACCGGGGGGAAAGGGGGATTTAAAAGGGGCTTAAAGGGGAGCTGCAAGAAACATTTTGCAACACTGTATAGCAGCTTCTGCGTGCAGCTACTCAACTTGCAAGACGCATGTGTGCACGGGAAGCAGAACCGAAGCTGTTCATCCTGCACAGCGCTGAGCCACACTGGGCTTCCAACTGCAACATTATGTGACTCTGAGCTTTTCTGTCCAGACTTTGGAGGCTTGTCATCATTTAACTTGGCGGGCAAGAGGTAAAGGAAATGGCACCTTCATTCGGAAGATTTGGGAAAACCGCATTGAGGGAGTAAAGTGCCTGCAGCTGTGCCCTTGATGGAAGGCACGATCTTCCTGGTTGGTTGTTGGCTAAAGAACTTTTTTTGTGGCTTATTAGGCGTCACAGAATATCTTGTTCTTGTGTAAGTTGACTGCAGCATTTTTTTGAACTTAAGCAGGTTCCAAAAAAGCAGCTGTATTCCGGGCACCGAAATGGGCCCTGGACTGTGGATTTCTTTTCTGAAAGCACAAGGTCACCCAGGAAGCCCAGATTTAGAAGCCATTTCTGGGTCCGCTTGCGCCATTTTTTTGCGGGCAGAAGCTAGATCTATTTTTGTAAAACAAATACCTGGGAGGTCCGGGTCGGACGTCTCAATTCTTGACATAAGTTCCGACGCCAAGTTCAGCGCCGCAGAAGCTACTGAAAAGAGCATCCGAGTTCCATGTGTGGGCGGAGTCGGTGGAGTTCATGTAAGCGGAGTCGGCGGAGTCCTTACAAAGTGGAATTCCCCTTAGAACGGCAGCGGAGTCGAGGTGAGCCCGTTTTAAATATACAATGGTTTTTAAACCGGGGAAGACACGACTCCGCTACATGTGTACCATCCCTCGTGCACCAATCCTGCAACATCTACGCTAAGATTCTATGGGGTGGGGGGTAATCTTGCTTCCTGAATCACATTCGAGAACTGCAAAGCTGCGCAAAAGTTGCTCTCCGTGTTCACTGCAAGTGACCTGAAGAAATCTCACAAATCCCACCTGACATCGTGCCCATTTTATGCACCCCAAACTGACACATTTTTTGAGACGTCCAGCGCAGTCCCCCTAGGTTCACGGTCGATCCGTTAATCGTCAGCCGACGCCGCGCCAGACGTGAACCGACGGTCACGCCGGACTAACGCTCAATTGTAAATGAGAGGAAGTAGGAACGACACGAGGACTCAGCGTCCGTCATCTGGCCTATATGGGAAATCTGGGCCCCACTTCTGGGGCTAAATTTTGACCCAGAGCTGAATCTGGGCGGCCCCACTTTTGGGGCCGTCTGCAAAAGAAAAGTGACTTCAGGCGGCCCCAAAAATGGGGCCCCACATGCCTTCCAGGAGGCCGCCTGACGACCCCGTCTCCGGACCCAGCAGGTTGAGATTTTGGGACACACCATCTGCGAAGTTAAACTCACAAGTTTCGGCGCGCTACATCACTGACCGGCGGCTGATTGCGCAAAACCCTCACGATTTCTGCAGCCGTCAGCAATTCTCTGAGCCAACTGGCAACCTGGGAGGTCCGGGTCGGACGTCTCAATTCTTGACATAAGTTCCGACGCCAAGTTCAGCGCCGCAGAAGCTACTGAAAAAAGCATCCGAGTTCCATGTGTGGGCGGAGTCGGTGGAGTTCATGTAAGCGGAGTCGGCGGAGTCCTTCCAAAGTGGAATTCCCCTTAGAACGGCAGCGGAGTCGAGGTGAGCCCGTTTTAAATATACAATGGTTTTTAAACCGGGGAAGACACGACTCCGCTACATGTGTACCATCCCTCGTGCACCAATCCTGCAACATCTACGCTAAGATTCTATGGGGTGGGGGGTAATCTTGCTTCCTGAATCACATTCGAGAACTGCAAAGCTGCGCAAAAGTTGCTCTCCGTGTTCACTGCAAGTGACCTGAAGAAATCTCACAAATCCCACCTGACATCGTGCCCATTTTATGCACCCCAAACTGACACATTTTTTGAGACGTCCAGCGCAGTCCCCCTAGGTTCACGGTCGATCCGTTAATCGTCAGCCGACGCCGCGCCAGACGTGAACCGACGGTCACGCCGGACTGACGCTCAATTGTAAATGAGAGGAAGTAGGAACGACACGAGGACTCAGCGTCCATCATCTGGCCTGTATGGGAAATCTGGGCCCCACTTCTGGGGCTAAATTTTGACCCAGAGCTGAATCTGGGCGGCCCCACTTTTGGGGCCGTCTGCAAAAGAAAAGTGACTTCAGGCGGCCCCAAAAATGGGGCCCCACATGCCTTCCAGGAGGCCGCCTGACGACCCCGTCTCCGGACCCAGCAGGTTGAGATTTTGGGACACACCATCTGCGAAGTTAAACTCACAAGTTTCGGCGCGCTACATCACTGACCGGCGGCTGATTGCGCAAAACCCTCACGATTTCTGCAGCCGTCAGCAATTCTCTGAGCCAACTGGCAACCTGGGAGGTCCGGGTCGGACGTCTCAATTCTTGACATAAGTTCCGACGCCAAGTTCAGCGCCGCAGAAGCTACTGAAAAAAGCATCCGAGTTCCATGTGTGGGCGGAGTCGGTGGAGTTCATGTAAGCGGAGTCGGCGGAGTCCTTCCAAAGTGGAATTCCCCTTAGAACGGCAGCGGAGTCGAGGTGAGCCCGTTTTAAATATACAATGGTTTTTAAACCGGGGAAGACACGACTACGCTACATGTGTACCATCCCTCGTGCACCAATCCTGCAACATCTACGCTAAGATTCTATGGGGTGGGGGGTAATCTTGCTTCCTGAATCACATTCGAGAACTGCAAAGCTGCGCAAAAGTTGCTCTCCGTGTTCACTGCAAGTGACCTGAAGAAATCTCACAAATCCCACCTGACATCGTGCCCATTTTATGCACCCCAAACTGACACATTTTTTGAGACGTCCAGCGCAGTCCCCCTAGGTTCACGGTCGATCCGTTAATCGTCAGCCGACGCCGCGCCAGACGTGAACCGACGGTCACGCCGGACTAACGCTCAATTGTAAATGAGAGGAAGTAGGAACGACACGAGGACTCAGCGTCCGTCATCTAGCCTATATGGGAAATCTGGGCCCCACTTCTGGGGCTAAATTTTGACCCAGAGCTGAATCTGGGCGGCCCCACTTTTGGGGCCGTCTGCAAAAGAAAAGTGACTTCAGGCGGCCCCAAAAATGGGGCCCCAAATGCCTTCCAGGAGGCCGCCTGACGACCCCGTCTTCGGACCCAGCAGGTTGAGATTTTGGGACACACCATCTGCGAAGTTAAACTCATAAGTTTCGGCGCGCTACATCACTGACCGGCGGCTGATTGCGCAAAACCCTCACGATTTCTGCAGCCGTCAGCAATCTTCCCTGAGCCAACTGGCAACCTGGGAGGTCCGGACCGGACGTCTCAATTCTTGACACAAGTTCCAACGCCAA